TCAGTCCTCTCCCTTCGTCCTCCTCCCACCTGCCTAACTACCTCCCGCTATGGCGCAGATTCGCGGCACTGCGGGATACAATCTCGGTCACCAGAACCCCTTTGGGGGTCCGGGACGAGCCGATGCTACCAACGACCCTAGCCCCTTGGATGCCATCCGTGAACAGACCAGCAAGATCGAGGACTGGCTGGACACCATGTCGGACCCGGTGAAGCCGTATGTCTCTCTCATATTTTACGCCTCTTGTTCAATTCGCTTCATGCGTCCTTTTGGTCTCGTGGCGCCATGTTCGCATGCATCATGCGGTATACGATCCGGAATTCTTCCGCTGACACCGTGTCTTTTCGCCGACCTGCAGGTACCTACCCGCCATTGGTCGCTTCCTGATTGTCGTCACCTTCATTGAGGACAGTCTACGCATGATCACGCAATGGAGCGACCAGCTTCTGTATCTGAGTGACTACCGGAAAAGTAAGCTTGGACCCTTGAATCCTGCCCTAGATTCCCCAGACGGGCTGGGCGCCACCACCGTCAGGATCACCCTCTAACCGATGGCTTTGCGGTTCGCTTCAGTTCCCTGGGGAATCACGCACACCTTCCTCATCGTCAACATCATCGCCATGTCGATATGCTCGTTCCTCGTCATCGCCCGCAAGCACACCGAGATCGCCGTCGCCGGTCTCCTCGGCGTCGTCGTCACCCAGGGTCTCGGATATGGTCTCATCTTCGACCTCAACTTCTTCCTGCGCAACCTGAGCGTCGTCGGCGGTCTCCTAATGGTTCTCTCGGACTCGTGGGTCCGCAAGAAGTTCGTGCCTGCCGGTCTGCCCCAGCTGGATGAGAAGGACCGCAAGATGTACGTCCAGTTTGCTGGTCGCGTGCTCCTCATCTTCCTCTTCCTGGGTTTCATCATGACTGGCCAGTGGAGCCTGTGGCGCGTCATTGTCAGCCTGTTCGGTCTCGTCGCTTGCGTCATGGTCGTTGTTGGATTCAAGGCCAAGTGGAGCGCCATCATGCTGGTTGTGCTGCTGAGCGTGTTCAACGTGCTCGTCAACAACTTCTGGACGGTATGCCTTTACTCTGCATCTAGCTTGCGTGCGAGCGCCACCGATTGATCGCTAATGCGCAATTGCCTCTAGCTCCACCCCCACCACCCCCACAAGGATTTTGCCAAGTACGATTTCTTCCAGATCCTGTCCATTGTGTAAGCTGCTCCAAGCCCACGCGAATTCCACCCAACGCACAGTTACTAATATTCTCCCAGCGGCGGTCTGCTCCTCCTGGTCAACATGGGCCCCGGCCAACTGAGCATGGACGAGAAGAAGAAGGTCTACTAAGACCGCGGCACTGACAACTCAGCATTACCGGGCATACAAAGGAGGGATCCCCGAACTCGCGAAAAGTAAAAAAGCAAAAGCAAATTGCCGCTGGTGCAGATGATGTGTGCGCGTGCGTGCGTGTGTTGTTTCTGGCTTTTTCTTGGCTGATGGGGGCTTCTACACCCCCTCCTCCACTCTTGCTCGTCAAATATATCCTCATCCGTGGCATATGATGTTTCTGTTATTCTTGTGCTCTTCTGAACAAACCCTCGGCCCTTCCCTCGGTCCCTGGACCGGACCGGTCTCTCCTCCATCCGTTGGTATGATTGATCATTGGGGATACCATATCCTGTCTGCTTTTGATCTCTAGGCTACAAAGAAATGAAAATCGATTCCCACTGTTCTCAAAAAGGCTCGTTTGGTGCGATCTGTAACCATGTTCTCTTCTTCTGCTTGTTCTGTTTTTCCTGTTTCTATTATGGCTTTAAGGAGACGGACATTGGTATTTGGTTTACGATGTCGAATGCAATGACGAGGCGGGCTTGGTGAAATCGCAGTTTGGGTGTATAAATCTGGATCATAGGGATACCATTCAAATTAAAAGCAAATTAGCGAGAGATCCCTTGTATGCGATGATACGATGCAACTTGAACCAGATCCCATACATACTATCTGCATATACTACCTCTAGACCGGGTTGAATTACTGACTCGCCTTGCTTGCGCATAATACATAGTCGTGATGCAGCTGTTAATCAGATAAATTTATTAAAGATAGTATACACGAAGGGAAAGGAACGACGTGATGGTGTAAGGAAACAACGATGCAACGCTGAGAACTAAGAAATAATCAAGGACAGTAATCTGCAGTAGAGACAGACATGACGATCTTATCTTACGCAGGAAACAGGGAATAAGTTGTAGCAAGAACATTCCTTATGAGTCGGCTCGCTCGAACATCTGTTGGTCCTGCCATGCACAATGTAATCTTCGAGGCAGACTTTGCAGAATTAGGGTATTGCAAACGACGATTGCTTTTGCCGCTTCCAACGCCGAGGGAAATCAAAACCTTGGGACAAGTGGATGCAGCAAGTATAACGGGAGGAAGATGGGGAAGGAAAGGATGACAGAGGTGCGACAGTGAAGAGTTTATCATATATCCATACTCCACCGCCATGGTCGCAAGCGTTCAAATTCACCGAGAGCGACATCGTCAGGCGATTCGTTGATCTCCAACTGCAGCATGTGAATCTTCTTGGTATCTCGCTGCAAGGTGGACAACGTTTTGGAGATGGATGGACGGATGTGCTTAGTGCTGTCGTCTATACCTTTCGAAGTGGGTCGTGACACTGGTGTGTCCGGTGACCGCAACGAGATCCGCGGAGACTCTATCTCTGAGTCCGATGGGGAGGATGACGCAGATGAGACTGATGGGGAGTGGATGGGGGTGGTAATCACGAGTTTGGATTCATCGCGGCTATAGGGGTGCGCTGTTGGCGATGGTTGGGCAGGCAGAGAAATGTTAGTCTCCGCGCCAGGGGTCTTTGACGACCGGAGATCCGGCGGGGATACAGGAGTAAGAGAAGGACTATGGAAGTTCTGCAGTTCGGGCGATTGGGGTGGATAAAGGCGGGAGTTGGTGGGTTCGTTTCAGAAGGTGATTTGGGCCCCAGTCTGGTGACGGTCTGCTGGACGAAGTGCCGTAGCTACCTGTTGGCGGAAAGTGCTAAACCGTTCTTTTCCGGGCCATGAACCTTGGTGCTCGGCGGGAGGTTGCAGCATCCATCGGGTCTCCGCTCGGCTTTTTGGGACCACTCACGATGGGCGGGTGTAGATCGTTGACGGGGGGTACGCGAGCGATATAGTACTTGCTCGGTTCGCTGGCATCGGCTCTCCCGCGGCCTGAGAGGCCTACGGAGGAGCCCTTGACCTCCATTTCTTCTCCCCAGAGAGGTTCATCCTCGCGCTGATAGCGCATGCGGTTCCAACGATCCTCCAACGGCTGCATCAGGCTGCTTTTGTCCTTCCTGCCGCCTTTTCGGTCGCGGTCCTGACATGAGGCTGAGGATACGGCATCAGTGTTCCAACTTTCGGTCCGGCGATGAGTCGAGCGATGACCGTGTCTCCGGGCTGGGGGCCCAGGGCCCAGAGCAATTTCCTCCATCCATCCTTGGTTGGTACTAAAAGCGGTGGGCTGGGGAAAAGGACGCGGTTGGTCGGTAACGACGGCTTCGAGTCGGGCCTGTTCACGCTTGGAACGAGCGGCATCCTTCATGCGTTTTCGACGATCGATGGAGTTCGCACAGGGGGTGCAGGTGGCATAGTAGAAGACGGCCGACTGGGCGCCTCGATACAGCCACATGATTGGGGCTGGTATCGGACACCGATCGAGGTGAAGGGGGAGGTACAAGAAGGAGCCGAAGGGGATCCAATCTGAGATACCTGACGATCGTCGTCTAGACCAGAGAAGCTCCGGTGGGAGAAGTACGCTGAGACGAGAGGTGTCGAGATAATGACGGCAACATGAAGGGCGTCTTATATGTGGGGGAGCCTGATAAGACGGAAGGGAAGGGGTAGGTCGCCCAGCGACCAGGAGAAGCGACAGAGGGGAAGAAATGAGAGAGTGTGAGAGAGTGAGTAAGAGAGAGAACGAAAGAGGAAGAGGAGGAGGAAGAGGGGAAGCGAAGAGTGGCCGGAAGGGGAAACAGAGGATTAATTGGATGCTCAGGGGAAGAAAGGACGGCTTGGCAGGTGGGCGGGACGGCACGGCACAACGGCGGATGTCAGATCCAGATGAATAGGGTCATGGAGAGAATAGTGCATCAAAATAATTATAATCTTCAAAATATTGTTAGTATACGGGTTGTGAATACCTTTGAATATCATGAATATGAATGAATACAGATCATTGCCAGGTGGCTGGCGGCCAAGTCTTCGGTATACTACCTACTCCGTAGGCATCCGCGATACTCGCAAATACGACTCAGGCTAATGCTGTAGATTCTCAGAATTAAGTACATTGTCCCATCCCACTGTCAGGACGCTCCTGTTGAGCAGCAGTCAACAGTGATCATCCTCCCTCGGGGGGGAGTCTCGGAGATCGCAATAGACCACCATACTGTAGCGGTAAGGTATCATCATTTCATCCATCCCAGACAGACGCAAAAGGCTGGACAGGTCGGACATCGTCTTCCATAACCCAATGCGTAGGTACGGCAAGAAGTTAAACCCAACTAGCCACATGACCCGCGCTCCAATCATTCTCTCATATCGTGCGTAGACGTGGGTGGTTTCGCTTTTTTACCCCCTCTCCGTCGAACGCTCGGTTCATCGCGTGGACACGAAAACAAAAACCAGGAAAAAGAAAAGCGAGTCGACGGTGTCGCTCTATCATGCGTTTTTCGTGCTGCGAACCACTTCGCCTTTCACTTTACTCCAATCGATATCATTGTCGATGCCCTCGTCCACTTCGCCGCAGACTACCACATTGTCGCCGCGGATGAGGTACAGCCCATGCTCGATCTGCGAACTCGGCTCTGGGTCGTCGGGGGTCCGGATGATGCGTTCGATCGTGTCCAAGAGCACCAGATTCGTCAGCTGGTCGGTGGATAGTAGTGTACCGAGGAGCGTCCGTCCGTCCACCGTGAGGATCAGGACTTTCTCTGTAGGACATGGAAAATTAGCGCTTGACTGGACCGTAGAGCTCAAAGATACGTACTGTTGATGTAGGCGTTGAGAGACATGGCGATGGAGTCGGAGAGGTTCGAGGAATATGATTGTACGAATTTCCTGGGTCGGTTCGAGTCTGCGAATACTCGCGGAATGAATCCAGGCGCTTTCCGCGAAGAATGTATATCGCGACCAGGCGCAATTGAACGACGGCCGTTGCAGTAGGATCACCGGTATCCGCTTGTTCAATTCTAGAATTGGTGGGATTCGTTCAGAGCTGGGCCACGCGTGATAGAGCTTGCGGGGCTTCGTCCTCAATACGCGCCGCTCTCAGAAGACTATTGCATGAGTCGGTTTCAAGGAATCATGCTATCAGGGTGATCTCTACAGATCCCGGTGTGGTTTGGCGGGCGGGTCGCATCAATAGGGAGCGTGTTGCTGGGTTGAAGTTCTTCTCCGTCCTCCTCGCCGATATGCCGTCGGTCACGTGGTAATAGCTTGGAGCATCCGCTATCTAAGGCTAGGGGGGGGCTTAAAAGGTCAGAAAAAAAAGAAGGCCCGAGCCGCGGTTTGAACGCGGGACCTCTCGCAGATTAGGTGGTAAAGCCCAAAGCGAGAATCATACTATGTTTCGTTAATTGACAAATCCATTTGTGGACGACTGTTGTGAAACTTACCCACTAGACCACTCGGGCAACTATGGCATCATCCCCAATATTACTCCATACTTGTGGACAATTAACTCATCTTGGGTGGAAAGCGGGGATTGATGTAAGAGTGACTCCCATATGTTTCACCTACCCTGGTATGAGGGCTCTATGTATACAACTTGCAAGATGTCTGGGATCCACAATAAGCATTCATATCACTCCTGCTTTGGGGCTCCGAAAGACCCGGGTCATTGAAAAGGAAAAAAGAAAGAGAAAAAGAAAATGGCCCGAGCCGCGGATCGAACGCGGGACCTCTCGCAGATATGCTAAGGGTGTACCCTAAGCGAGAATCATACCACTAGACCACCCGGGCGGCTATGTTTTATCATGCGAAAAAAATTGATATACTTTGCCGACAGATTCCTACGCCTACAGTAGACTGGGTGAATGCAGTGGATCAATGGCTTACGTACGCACATCTCTTCGATTAGTTACTTAATAGTTATCTGGTCTCTATTTTGAGATATCCACGTTAGGTTCGAGTCAGTCTCGAGGGGCAGGCATAGACCAGGTCGTCCGATCCCTCTGTAGCTGGCTGGGTTGTCGAGTCCCACCGAGTGTCGTGGAGGGAACATAGCCCAGATGCTTGATATACTCGGTACGGCGTGTCGGCAAGATGGGATATCAGCAGGACGTCTACTCTGATAGAATGGGGGAGAATTCATTTAGACATCTCAGATGAAGGCAAAACCAAGCAACTAAAGTCCTAATGAAGAAAGGGAAGGAAGAAATCCAAGCGCGAAATACACCGAACCGTATGATAGATGAAAGCAGCCTCGAAGGGGTTATTATATGCAACGCGACGCATCACTACGGCACATTGGTTCTTGGTTGTCGAGGAAGTATATGGATCGATGGCCAGGGCAGATACTGCTCTTCCTCACCATCGTCTTCCTTTTCAAGGTCCCTGAACAATGTTACCTGTAGCAGAAAATGGTAGTGCAATATCCGGGTTTCGTCCAAAAACACCTCCACGAGCATTCAATTGCTTCCATTCGCCGCGGGTAACGAGCTGCTATGCTCGAGTGCATCTATTGCTACGGCTAGCTCCATCTATCTTGACTGAGTAGACATCGCGCTCATTGGGCCCAGGGCCAGTCTCATAGTATCTCATGGGCTTGGTGAAACCGTCTGGCGCGTGTCTATGTGGTCTTCACTTAAATGGTAGATGAACACGGCTCGTGATGATATCTTGCCTTGAATGACCGTCAGCGCAGATCAGGGAATGCTCAATATACGGGGTATAGCCGATGAGCCCCATTATCAATATATGTTCTTGTGTAGTAGCCTCCGCATTGTCTCGAATTGTACATGTGAGCGTCGCCCTCATTCCCATCCAATACCTTCGCATCAACTCATTGTAGGCCCAGTGGTAGGAGACCTCCTCCGGGCTCCCAGTGCCGCCAAGACGTATTGTGAGTCCCAAGAGTGTAACCCGGGAAGACCTTATGCGTGGTATCAGGGCTACAGTAAACCGGTGTATAGGCAATGAAAATTCTGAGCCGAACTAGTTTCCCGTACAAATAAACAACAACCCTATATATAAGAACGTTGCTTAGGATAGCTTAATTGGAAAATATGGGATAATAGAAGCTTCCGCACTAAACCCAGGGATGATATATTTCTCGCTGAGGGTCAACCTTATAGCAATCCAATACGTGGTTCGGGCCCGCATGTCGTTTTCTTGCCACTTATACACCGTTCTTTTAATATCCTACACCCTGAACCATGGAATCTCCGGAATACGGGCTAAGAGGGCAACCCCCAAACCCACAAGGATCTTATTACGCGTGCGGGATTATATACCGATTCTAGAATGTGATTGGGATTGGGTGGATGTATATATGTTTCTTCTCTCTTGTTTGCTACCTATTGGGAAATTCACCCCCACGTAGGTATGGGATAAGATAGACTTACGTTAACCTATGCAGTTATATCTACGGCATGTCTGTCAAGCAGCTAATCTTGCGCTATCAGATTGCTGTTCCCCCGTCACAGGTAAACCAACTGTGGATACTATGTTCGATACACAGGGAACATCTACTCTGATGGGTCCACCGCCGTTAATGCCAGCTACAATAAACAAGAACCGGCAATCAGCCTTGGATTGTTACCATTCCCTCGAAGATATATTATATATATATATGTCCATGGCAGCCCGCCGACTATTTCTGGCTATTCTGGCTATGGAACATCCGCCATGCTGAGCCAGTAACTAACCGCCTCTGTACCCTCTCCTAGTGCATCGTCGAGAAGTATTATCGAGGTCGGGGTGAGACTACACCAGTGGGGACCATTACTGACAACTTGTTGAACAAAGGGAATTGATTGATTAGCAGACCAACAAAGAAAAAGGAAGCACACGAGCGCTAGGACTCTTGCCACTCCCTCTTTTTTTTTTTTTTTTTTTTTTTGCACTTTCCCTTAGTTAGTTAGAGCAGGGAGCCCAGTTTCATTATAGTATGTACAAACCCCATTCCCGCGCTTCTCTCGGCGGCTTGTGTCTGCGGGCCGATAGGCCATACAATAGCGGCCTACGGGGTAGCTCTATAGGCATACTACCTGCTAAACTGTCTATTAAACCACCTACTAAACCGCCTGCTTGACCACCTGATTAGCTATTTGCTTAACTACCCACTTCATTATCCGTCAAACTACCTGATAAACTATCTATTGAGTAAATATTTGGATAGGCAGTCTCGCAGGCAGATCAGTAATTAAGCAGACAGATTAGCAGGTTAGTAAGTAGGCAGGCAGTTTAGCAAATATAAATACACCGTAGGATAGATAGATAGGATAGGATAGATACCTACCTACAGTGGGGGTTCAAAAATGTTAACACCCCCTTTTCGCGCTAAAACGACCGCTTTCCTAATTAGTAATACTGTCGGTTAAAATAATAGAACGCGTCGCGCGCCTCGAAGTAACCCTACTATTATTATTAGTTATTTCTATAATATCTAGTAAAGAACTGTATCCTACTCTGTGCGTGCAGATCTGCGAGCTTTATTCAATCGGCTAGGGCTATAAGCGTATTTATATAAAATACTCTAAAGTCTCTTTATCTACTATTCGCTATACTATTCTAAAGCAGAGAGTGCGTAAAAAATATGCTATTTCACCACGTAGTGGTCGCCTAAAAATGCTCTTTGATAATAAGTAAAAGACTCTATTAGAGCTTGCAAGCGAAGATCTTTATATTAAAATATGTAAGCTACGCGCAGAAGTCGAAAATCGCGTGTCTTTTATAACTATTTGCCGGCTTCTTCGCGAGCATAATATGCGAAAATAATAATAGAAAAAAACCTGGAAATTACTGCAGAAAATACTGCTAAATATCTTGCTTAGGTTTGTTAGTACGCTCTTAGAAATACGTTAGATAGACTGACGAATACTTGGTAGAGCGAGGTAAAAGGGCGCGAGCTTTATATATCTTTACTAGTTCTAGTCGCTAGACTATTGAGTATAATATTCATGCTATATGCTGCGGGAAAGGCGTAAAGCAGATATTTTGGGCTAATTTTAGATTCGATCGACGTACAGGCCTTGTTTCTTTAGAGGGAGACCCTGAGGCAGCTCGTAGAGGCGTGACTGTATGGGTTATATCTTATGTCTATGAGGTATGGCTTCTAGAACTAGTCGATTCAGGCGATATTTTTATGTACGACGGCGCTTCTGTACATACTGCACGTATTATTAGACGTCTGCTTAATGAGATAGGTATAGAGGTTATGATTTAGCCTCCTTATTCGCCTGATTTTAATCCTATTAAGAATTTATGGGCGCTTATGAAAGCTATTATTTGTGAGTGTTATCCTGAGCTTAAACAGGCGCCTGATACGTAGGAGACTTTAGATCGGTTAGTAGAGGCGGCGAAGGAGGCCTGACATGCTATAGATGAGAGGGTTCTGTAGAATCTATTGAATACTATGCCTTATTGCGTGTAGGCCATACTATCTGCGGAAGGCTAGTATACAAAGTACTAGAGGCGGCGAGGTCTAGTTAGTGTGATCTAGTCCTAAATAGGAAAGCGATCATTTTAGCGCGAAAAGGGGGTGTTAACATTTTTGAACCCCCACTGTAGATAGGTACAGATACTGTAATGGCAAAAAATGGAAACAAAAAGTACGGCCCGAGCCGCGGATCGAACGCGGGACCTCTCGCATATATGCTAAGGGTGAACCCTAAGCGAGAATCATACTGATTCTGTTAGTAAAGAACATTCTGGACAGGAAACGGATTGTTGCTTACCCACTAGACCACCCGGGCTTGATGTGGGTGTTTTGGGTCAAATTTTGCATACATGAACCTTTCTATAAGTTTGCTCGCTAGGCCAGCCTATTCCATCAGTAGTTAGCTTACTCCGTAGACAAGCTTTATTAGGCAACAGCCTAGCGACTTTCTTATCTCCCTTCTGTGCACTGGACTAGAAGTTGACCGGCGTTTGAATTCTTGCATTCCGCACTTCTGTTGTCTCTGTCCTACCTATATGCGAATCTCCTGCACCGCAGTTTGGAGGGTCCATGGAAGTTCTTTAATGTATACTTATACGCTTGGTAGTCCTATTTGAGTGTTCACAGAGTGCTACGTGCTGCTTTTCTGGGACATCTGTCTTTCTCTCTCTCTCTCTCCCCTCACTGTTTGTTTCTTTCTCTTTCGTCCATGCCTGCTTGCAAGTTGGCATGGATTTCTCCCAGGCGCAAATGTTCCATTTGTTTGCAGATCTTTGCGTTGCAGATCTCCAAATCTCCTTACTCCCAGGGGATCAGGGACCTGTGGGCCAGGCAATATCGCTCATACGCGATTTCGCCAGAGCTCCCTCAGGTGAGCATCTAATTTGCGAACTCTCGGTGCAATGAGTCCACATGGATTGAGGTCTAGCTGCTAAACAACCTTGGGACATTGACTCTGCGCATCAGCTTGATGATGTCGCCAGGTGGAGGCGGGTCTGAAGTTCAATGCGAAACCTGTAGAGCCCCGTCAGGATCTAGAAAGGGCGTACCGCTTACCACAATTTCATACCGGGATGGGATCACGCTCCAGAGGCGTTGGGAAATGCTCACCTTGCTATATCTGTGCTTTTCGCATATGGCAGATTGATGTCCAGGAACCGACGCGCGCGAGTGAACGAGTTGCTTGTGCTTCGTGAAGCCCCTTATGATACCCTCGCTACGGAATGCAGCGGCTGTGGCCAACCGGCCCTGGATGATCCATTTCCCTACTGGTCCAAGTGCGAACCGGATCTTTACGTTTCATGGGCAGTTACAGGCGGTGCAAACCGTGGTTTTGGTTGTTCATACTCTTTCCTCAGATCGTTCTCTGGCCGGCTAAATTGGTCGGCGGTAGTCGTGGGAGGAGAGAGTAGGGAATCCTTTGAGGCAGCTCACGCTCGAAATGCCCAGAAACCGAGCGTTTGGCTCATCCGTAACGATGCAGAACTGGGAACCCTCCCTGGAGAGGTAGAATTCAGATGCCCCTCTTGCTCACAAACAAAGCTCTTGCAGGCAAAGTGGACAATCCAAGAGCATCCAACTCTCTTAAGTCCGTATCTTCGCTGTCTGGCACGAAAGACCGTAAATGGCCGCGGCAACAGTGGACACTGGAAAACAGTGGAACTGCATTAGGCCATTCGATAGCCTCCTCTTTCTCGAGCCAAAAGGGGCTGTAATCTGAGCAGCTACCCACGGGTTGATAATGTCATTTTTGCCGACAAAACCATGTCATTCCGAATTGCAAAGCTGAGGGGATTGAAACTCGCGCAAACGGTAAAGTGACTTTGAGGTTCTATCTAGATCATAATATGGGATTTCCATGGCCTTACTCCATCCGAATTATGGAGATGGAACTGCAAATTTCTTCAGCAGTTCTAGTATGAGTACAACAAGGTGTTGAGATTATACTAGTACAATAGCTTTCTTAACTTTCTTGACTTGGATAGTGGTCCTGTTTCTTGTGCTACAGATACAATAGAGTCTCCGGCCACCAAAAACATAGATGCTTTTAAGATATTGGCAGAGATTTGCTATGGTTGATTTACTAGGATTAGATTAGTCTGGAGGTGTAATAAGCTACCTAGATAAGTTCGATGTCGGCGAAAAAATTGTGCTGACGGACCTTTGCAACAACTTAGTAATTATAAAATAGCTTATGTATCAATTGCCCGGGTGGTCTAGTGGTATGATTCTCGCTTAGGGTTCACCCTTAGCATATATGCGAGAGGTCCCGCGTTCGATCCGCGGCTCGGGCCTTGATCTCTTTTTTTTGTTGGGGGTGTGTTTTATCCACAGTGGATGGATCTGTTTTTGCGTCAAATTTGATATTGATGATACCCATCACATCCATCATCGCATGGCGAGGCGTTTTGTAGCTTGGTTTGGTGGGTTGCGGAATCCATTGCATATCATGGGTGTCAACAGGAGGTTAATTGATAATAGATCCATCCATACTCGATAAATAACCTTGCGATAGCCGTCGGTCATATTGTAGTAATGCAATGGTGGACGTGATATATATTACTTCCCTCCATGCTCTATCCAAGAGCCAGTAAATGTTGGAATAAGACACAACCCATCAGACCCAAAAACACACAAACAAGCGATTGAATGTCTGTTGTGCGTCCATATAACCATACCATATTCACCAAACGCCATCTATTTAACAGGCCTAGAATATAGTCCATTCATGTGTTACCCAAGGAGGGGTAAGAGCCCTCCCCTCAACGACCTCCACCACCCAAAGACACCTCTTCACCCAATGCCCCAGCCAAAGAAAGTGGCAATCATCGGTCAGTACTTCCTTTCAGACTTCACAACGCCTTAACTAAATAAACACAGGCGCCGGCCCCTCGGGTCTTGTAGCAGCCAAAACTTTCCTACACAACTTCCCGCAGGGAACATTCAGGCCGGTGGTCTTCGAAAGACAGCACCACATAGGTGGTCTCTGGCCCACAGAGGCCGCGGCCCTCATTGACCATGGAAAGAATACGCCACGCGGACTGATTCACCCGCAGATGCGCACGAACCTCAGTCGGTTCACCGTTTCGTTCTGCGACCTTGCGTGGGAGTCGGTCATTGAGGGGCCGGATGTGCCGATATTCCCTCGCGCATGGCAGGTGGGGAGGTATCTCGAGAAGTATAAAGACCGATATCTGTCTGGCCTAGACCTGAGACTGGGACAGGAGGTGTTGCGAGCTGTCCGTCAGACCGAGCATGATGGATCCAGGGTGCGATGGGATGTGCAATGGACCGACACCGGGTGAGCTTGATATACATACAGGCCTGGTCACTGGATATGCTAACGTTATTCCAGCACTACAAAAGCACCAAATACAGAGTCCTTCGACTATCTGATCGTTGCATCTGGCTACTTCGCTCGCCCATCCATCCCGGATATCCCCGGGCTCGACGATGTCCCCGATACTGTAGTCCACAGCTCTGCACTACACACCGCAGAGGATATCAATCGTCTGCTCAAGAACAGCGACCCAAAGAGCAACAGAATAGCAGTTGTCGGGGCAAGCATGTCAGGCGTGGAGACAGCCTCTGCCCTCGCCCTCCACCTGTCATCGCAGAAAGCATCCTCACAACCCGGTAGTACCCACGAGGTGCACCACATCTGCTCCCGGCCGTTCTGGACAGTGCCATACTACGTGCCACATCCACCTGCGTCAGACCCAGCAACACCAAGCAACTTCCTCCCCCTGGACCTGGCATTCTACGACCTGGACCGACGCCCGCCCGGCCCAGTGGAGTACGGCTTTGGCCCTATATCCGGGTCGCAGGCGTCCAAGACTAACGCGTACTTCCGCGGCCTCCTTGGACGAGACTATGAGGAGATTGGGAGCGTTGGCGTTCCAACCGCGAGTGATACCGTCGAAGGAGTAGTCCCCTCTTGGGTGGCCATAGGGGACGACTATGCGGAGTACGTCCGCGCTGGCACGATAAAGACGATCCTTGGCCGGGTTTCAACCATCATCCGCGATAAGAATGGCACAACGACCGTCAATATCGAACGTGATCATCATTCAACAGTATCCCTGGATCAAGTAGGTGCCATCGTGCTCGCTACAGGATTCACACCATACGCCTCGCTCTCATTCCTCCCAGCAGACGTGCTGTCACGACTGGAACACTGCAAGGCAGACCCCTCCATTCCACTCATCCTGGACGGAAAAGGGACCTCACATGCGGAAATCCCCGAGCTAGGCTTCGTGGGATTCTACCGCGGTCCGTACTGGGGCGTAATGGAGATGCAGGCGCGCAGTCTGGGTGAGATGTGGTTTCGCGCTGGACAGGGCATGCGACCCTCCGACGAGGAGCTTGCACAGAAAGAACAAGAGCGGCAAAAGGTCCGTGAGCTCCGGGCTGCCGATCCCCGATTCAACCGTGCTCAGTTTCCCATGGGGGATTATGTCGGGTTGATGGAGTCTTTTGCTCGGGACCTGGGGATTGAGCGGACTCCGTTGGCCGATCTTGGTGAGCGACGCGGGCCGGTCGTTCCTGCGAGATATCTGGGTAGAGGAGACGGCTCATCACAGGCTGATCTGGCACTTAGTGCCCTGCGGGGTACATTGTCCCCGGAGGGAGGTTGTTCTGTGGGTGTCGCGGCGGCCGTCTTCAGAGCGTTGCATGGGACCTGGAAGTTCTCGAGGACGCATACGAGCGATGATACAAGGGATGTACAGACCGGAGAATTTACGTTATATCCACGATCCCCGTCAGGCGACTGCGACAAAGAATATGTGGGCGAGCAGGTTGAAGATACGCCCGACAGAAGGACAAGAACTATATATCAGCTCGGGGGATCACGAATCTGCATCTTCTCCGAAGACTCAGCGGGGCACTCGAGACTAGAGCTGCACTTCCCACATGGTCTATCTGCGGAAGAAGGGGATCTTGTTTGCTCTAGTTGTGCTGGCGAATATACATACAAGTTCCGCTTCAGTGGCGTGGTGATATCCTCCTGGGAGCGCATCACGGAGCAAACAAGAACAGTCTACACACGATAGCATCTGGACAATCCATACACATATATATATATATCAAGCTCATAATGAAAAAACCAATATCCAACCCAACTAGTACGTAAACCTGAAACTCGGATGATCATCACCCAGATTATCCCTCTCCTCAGCCGGCAGCTCCAGCCGATGATCTCTCTTCCCCTTCGCGCGCAAGCGATTCTCACGCACCACATACACCAAAAACAAGAAACATGCCGCCCCGCAAATCCACACCATCCCCAGACTAACCCCATAGCCCGTGGGATAGCCAGGCGCCTCCGAGTCATAGAAGATGTTACTCGCAACCAGCCCGCCGCAGTTCCCGAACCCGATCTGAAACGCCGACGCAATCGACTGCTTGTAGTGCCCGCCCATGTTGTTGCTCAGCCAGCCCATCAGGATCGGCTGCGTCAGATATCCGCCGCTGGTGATGGCGAAGATGGCAAAGTAGCGCGCGCCCACCGGCACAGACGCCTGGCACAGCAAAACCACGTATCCGACCGTCGCGACGAGACAGCCCGCCAGCGTGAAGAGGTACCGATGGCGGAGGCGGTCGCTGAGGAACGCCGCCGTCAGCGAGACTACCGTCGCGACGATGTACACGGGGATGCTCATGACCTGGGCGCGGACGGCGGTGTAGCCGAGCTGGTGCAGGATGGTGGGCGTGAAGAAGGACACGGCGTAGCCGGTGTTGACGATGCCAAAGTACATTAGGGGGCTGTTCGTTGCAAATGTTAGCTGTGAATGCAGTACAGAAGGTCGGGTCATACCCGAGATAGAGCTTGGGGTCTTTGAACGTGCGCCGCGCGGCGGCCTTGTCCAGCCGGTCCATGCGAGTGTTGCCCCGGTCTTTTGCCAGACGACGCACGAGCAGCGTGCGCTCCTCCTCGTTGAGAAACTGCGCGGTTTCGGGCCAGTCGGCGATGAGGAACTTGGACGCAACGGCCAGCGCCACAGTCGCCAGGCCCTCGAGGATGAAGATCCACCGCCAGCCGCTGTATCCGCCGACTCCGTCCATATTGTTGATGCCGTAGGCGAGGAGCTGCATCGGTCAGTCTGTCCGAAGATAGGGAGCTGGGGATCGTACCCCACTAAATGCGCCGGCGATGATGCTAGCGCTGAAGAAGACGTTGAGTCGCCATTGGAGCTCGTGGCGGCGGTAGTACATGTTGATCAGGTATACGCATCCTAGGCATGTTAGAACCGACAGCAGACCCGAGCAAGGAGTACGTACCCGGCATGAACCCCGCCTCAAAGACCCCAATAAGCACACGGCAGACAACCAGGCCGGTAAAACTCGACGTCACGCCCTGACAGATGGTGATGATGCCTGCACATGTCAGCATGAAGAGCGCGTCGCGAGAAAGCACCCATGTATACCCCAGCAAAAGATAATCCCACTCAGCCACCACGAAGGCCTCATCTTCTTCAGCATGATATTACTCGGGACTTCAAGCAGGATGTACGGGATGAAAAAGACAAACAGCGCGACGTTGTACTGGTGGCCGCTCATGCCCAGGTCCTTTTCCAGCCCCATCAGCCGCGCATTGCCGATATTGATGCGATCCAGGAAGGCGAACATGAAGAGGATATTGAGGATCGGGACGACGTGGTAATCGCATTTCCATAGCAGCTTTTTCTCCTTGACTGGGTCGATATCGGACTCTGAGGACTCGATGGCCTTGAGGTCCTCAATCGTGTCTTGTGTGACCTCGTCGTCTTTCTTTTCTGACGACATGCTTGACTATCAGCGGACTGGTGCCGCGGCGGTTGTCTCAGGAAATGGTCGAACGCAAGAAATTCAAGAACAAGTATAAAGATGGTTCATCGCACAAAGAACTACAGCCAGCGGAGTCATAAGACCCCGGATTTATACAGTTTGCCATCTCCAACCCCGCAATCCGGGGTTTGCACGACCTAGGGTCCGGGGAGAACAGCCCTGACTTCTTCACTTGGTCGGACAGCAGCTACACGTCAGTTCCGCATGTACTAGCCGAATTCCGCCTTGTTGCTCGATTCTGTCCTGCTGTGAGTTACGGGAATCACCCGAAAGTCTGTCGGTACTTGGCGAACGAATCAGACCCTTTGTTATTCGATCAGACTCGCTGGTTACCCCATCTTATGGGAGCCACTGACACGGTCAAGGGAATGACAGAAGGGATCGAGTTAGTATGCTTCTCCGAGTTACGGAAAGGTTGACTGTGCAGATGAGATACGAGCATTATCCATGTTTGATGCTCCAGGGGTCTGTCACAACATTCACAGATGGGAGAGACTCCAGCTAGGCATGGGAGTCACGACGGCGACGCCCCATTATGTACCCTCTGCTATCTGAGGATATCCGCACCCTCCGCCCTTCCCCGGAATTTCCCCAGAAGCGGGGATCCAGAGCGGAGCAATTCCACAACCCGGCGGATCTTCGTGCATGTGTCGACTGCTTGGCAGGCGGAATGCTGTTCCGCTGGCGGATGGGAGTATACGATGTCAGATGCGACCGGGCTATCAGCTTCGCCTCTCTATTATCATTCCTGGTGGTGCGTATTTCTGTGCTACATCCATTGAACATCATATATTGATCAGGGTACCTTCGTCCGTGTAAAGCGTGCAGTATCAAAGGACCCTGCTCAACAAGACCAGTCCCATCTACTTAGTATCCCGGTTGCCGCGTAGGTGATTAGTCCCGGCGTCTACATATGCTAAATCCCTAGCTTCTACAGTGCTGGGTTTACAAGAGGGTCTTGAGATACATGAAGCTTAGCTTAAGTAGTGATCACTCAGCATGAGTATGGTATCTACCACACATATAAAAAATTCCCCATTAAGTTATTCCTCACTCGCGCATGCAAAGATACTCCTATTACAGCCAACGGAATCATCTGTTCCGCGAGATGTTCTCAATCGCAGTGGCCTCGGACTTCTCATGAGCCGCATCCTCCTGCATAACTCGCATCCCCTTCTCGGCAGCGATGAGATCTTCGCCGTGCGTGACATGGTTCGCGCCGCCAAAAAGGGCATCGATCTCTTCCAAAGGCACCTGCTTCGTCTCGGGGATGAAGAAGTACACGAAAACAGCCAGGAGGAAGTTGACACCAGCAAACATATAGAAGGCGTAGAACCCACAGTTCTTGAGGAAGATAGGGAAGAATTGCTGGAAGATGGTATTCGCGACGTTCTGAGTCTGTGACGCCATTCCCACAGCTTGTGCGCGAACGTTCATCGAGAAGATCTCTGATGTCCAGATCCACACGGTAGCTCCCCACGAAGGCTTGTCTAAGAGAAGTTAGCGAGAACTCAAAGTGCACTATCGGAAGAATCTTACAGAAGAAGATGAAGAGGAAGAGTAAAAACACGATCGATATGCCCACCGGCTGAGTTTTAACCCCATTGGGCGATGGTGTTTCCGTCTCGACTGCAGAGACAATGATCATGCAAATTCCCATGCCAATACCACCGATAATCAGGAGGAACTTCCGGCCAAAACGGTCGATGATCCAGACGGCATTGAGCGTAAAGATAATGCCAAAAGTAGCGTTGAGGGCATTGATCAAAGCAATCTGACCAGCGCTGGGGAAGACTTTCTGATAGATCTTGGTGGAATATGTGTTGAGGGATCCTTGTCCGGTGATCTGTTGTCCTGCATTGACGATAACAGCAAGCAACATGCGCTTTCGCAGAGACTTGTCCTTCCAAAGAGCACTATAAGTGCCGGAGATGGCCTCTTTTTCGTATTCGAGAGCCTCCCGGATGCGCAGCAATTCCTCCTCGACCTCTTCTTCAGAGGATCGGACTCTTCGAAGAGTGGCACGGGCTTTCTCAATGTCGTTATTACGTTTGATATACCTGTGAAAATGTTAGACTCTCTGGTAAACATACTTGGCTTTGATACGACTTGATGGTCCATACCAACGCGGCGAGCCCGGGATGGTGGGCATGAGAATCAGAATTAGGGTAGGGACGAGAAGCTGGAAGATGACAACCATTTTCCAGTCCCATTCGCCGAGGCGTTCCTTATGCTGCGTGCATCCGTAATTCACCCAGAAGCAGATAAAAGACCCAACAGAGTAAAACATCTGCCAGAAAGTCATGATCTTGCCACGGATCTCTGGCGGGGCCAACTCGCCGATATAAACCGGACCGGAGGCTGCGATATTCTTAGTATCGTAGGTAGACAACATTCACGACAAGACTCACTCAAAGCAATGCCTTGACCGACACCGATGATACACCGACCAGCAAGGAAGCATGCAATATTGTGCCACGGGGACCAGGTCTGCATGAAGGTGGCGGCGATAACCAGTACGCAACCCGTGGCCATACCCATCTTGCGGCCAGCATAGTCCGCAATAGGACCACCGAGGAAGAAGCCCCCGAAAATGGCGCCTACGGTGTAGGCCGTGTTGACTGCACCGATCATATTCGGACCCGGGTCGTTGAAGTGGGCAACCCAGTTATCGGAGCCTTGTACCGAGTTGTAGACCGACGCATCGTATCCATAAAGGACCATACATGCTGCTGCAACAAGCGAGATGTACCTATTGGGAACGAGTTAGTAACAAAGCCCAGCATGAACAAACACACGACCAGGGATATACGGACCAGTTGTACAGCCTCTTCGATTTCAAGTCGAATCCCATGATGGGCACTGTTGCTTTCCGACTTCTCAACAAGAAATAAAGCAGTCAAAGTCCAAAACAATAATGACCAATCAGCTATCCTGTCGGAAAAGCCAAGTAGGAAATGAGAGCAACCGAGATGGTATGGATCGACCACGCAAGTCCGACTGAGGTGTTCCTGCGCTGCAGTACTTAAATGCTCGACCTCTCCCAGCGGACGCACGATAGAAAAGGTGAGAGCTATGAGAAGCCGGAGGGATTCGTGTATTAAGCCATGGGACACAAGCTTGTAACGCCATGGCCAGCTTAGAGCCAAGGGCCACCAAGGGGAGACTAGCATCCTGGGCCAGCCTTGATAACACTCGGCTTCGACTCCAGACTCTGTGAGTGGTGGGGTATCTGGAGAAACCCGAATCGAGCAGGTTGTGGGACAATCTCCAGCCTGGTGTTTTGCTGGAGTGGAGAGATCTGGAGTTGAGATTCGAGGAAATACTTTGGCGTCGGCAGCCATTTCGCCCAACTTTCCACGAATCAGCACCGATACGAGAGCCGGCAACAATATAGAGCAGAATCCACCAATAGAAGCGTTTTTAAAGGATGGCATTCCGGTGGATCAGATGGATGTCAGATGGATGTCCCATGAGCAAGAGGAAAAGAAGCAGTAGGTGGCGACTGGGGAAGCTGGGGCAAATCTGGGGGAGAACGGGGGCTGTCACATATCCTCCACACCACCACCCATGAAAGAGTCAGCGTCCAGAATTTGACTATCTGAGGCCTATTCCTATCCCTTACGTGTACAGTATGCACAAGCCGTCAACGGACAAATGATGTACTGATAACTCTCGGATTAATGTCGACTGCAAAACTACTGGTTAAGATACCATGATCCTTCTGGGGCCCATCTCACAACTCTCCCATTCACGCGGAGAATCCTTCACTCATGTCGTAAGTTCCCACCGGCTAATGTCTTTTGACGCTTGCATTGGGTGCTCGAGGAAGTACTGGGATCCGATTGTCCAATCTTGCGGTATTTTGACGGTTGGGTTCAGCTGGCGCCAAATCGAACAGATCGCGAACATCTCGACGAGGACTTTTCATGGAGACTCCAAATGTATTGACTCTTCGTAACCCCCTTGGAGCAGACGTTGTACCCTGTTGAATTGGACCATTTGCTGCTCCTGTGGAATCGGACACAAATGACATCGAGGTCGAGATTGCAGGTTCAAGAGGAAAATCCGCATCATATTCTGATGTTGGCCGAGCTAAATTCACGCCCAAAATCCTTCTGTAATGTGCTCGAAGAGTCTTGACGACCCAACGGATCAAGCACGACAGGAAAGCGCCCCCTATGAAGGCCCCCAAAACAATACATACCTTGTAGAATACACGGAGACTCCTGGCTTCTTGTCTCTGGCAATGAGCCTTCAACAGGTCGTCCTTCTTCGAAGGGTAACACATGTCACAAAGACTTCTTTCGGCTTCTGAAAGTTCTTCTGACAAGCAGTTGATTGACCCGTCCACTTCAGCGCAGATGGTATCTTCACAGCTTCTGGGGAAATGGCCAGTTCTTCGACCAAGATCCCGACGGCTGTCCTGCCAGGAATCAGCTACATGTCGGGGATACTTGGGGACGTGGAATTTTCGAGATATTCGATCTTGAGCCATAGAAAGGAGAGATATCATCATCCCTTGGTAGCGTCGGGCGGAGGAAGATAGTTGGGGGATGCTGTTAAAATGGCCATTGAGAGAATTTTTGGAAGAAGTGAGTGTAGGTCCGACATCACGCATAGCATATTTCTTTGGCAAGTGCTCATTGTAGATTGGATGTGTCAGGGAGCTTTCGGGTGTGGCCATATCACTCTTGCCCCTGCATATCTGCTCGTCACAGACTTCTCCATTGGTTCGAGGCACTGTCAAAGCGAAATGCAAAGTCAACCAATCTCCACAGCTAGAGCCTGTTTTGTATTGTTGGCACTGACTCGCAAACTCGAGGTTCTCGTTTGGGCCTTCTTTCCAACTTAGCAGATAGATCGATGGTTGCTCACAGCTGGAATTGTGGGTCTGGAGGTTTATGCATATGAAAGGTCTTTCGTTTCGGAGAGCATCAATGCAGTCAGATATACATACTGGACCGATTGTAGCACTGATGGGCTGGAGATGTAAACATTCGGGGTTGGTTGTAATCGTGCCCAGTAAGGCGCAGAGAAAAGTTAGGAGATGTTGGCAATGCATTGTACACGCTGAGCAAATGAAGCAGCTGAGTATGTGCATAGAGCAAAGTAACTATGCTTCAAGCTCTTTGGCAACGAGTCGCGGGTTGGATCATGCTCAGCCCAAGAATTGAGACAAGATTGGAAGTATAAGATGGCTGCAAAAACAGAAGCTGCGATTGAACTCCCTTCCAGAGCCTTGATTTTTGTGTATTGGCCGTTATCCCATACGGTAGTCCATGTTGGAAACATAATGTTTTGATCCAGGTAGAGTCGAGTTCTAGCAGGGCACTTGACTGTTCATCGAAATTGGAGGTTCCGTCATTCCATGCGTGACTATGAAGCCGATATGATGGGATGGTAGACACCATGTGAGACAGAGTTGACTATTATGTGAGCGCCCCAGATCTATGGATAGAACAAGACAATCTGGATCTTAATTTGAACAATCATTCTGAATGAACACCTGTTCTCCCTAAGATGCTACCTATATATTCATCTTCACTCCCTTTTCGGTAATATGATATCACGTGCTCTCGTGATTCCGTGACGCGGTTTATCGCGGCTTCTCGAGATTCAATTTCGAGATCAACCTCTACCCATTCAGCCTTTTCCTAAAGGGCATCATAACTCCCAACGACACATATCCTCCCGGCTTATCTACCAACCCTTTCTTTCAGAAATCTGCGCAGCTACTACGTCATCTCCCATGCCCCGCGCTCGTGGTAAAGCGAAGCAGACGCGGCTTAGTTTTGCTCCTGTCGCTTCACCTTCACAAGCCGTCGAACCAAGCCCGGAAGATGATGCGAATCGCCTGGCTACTTTACGATATGACCATCCGTCACTGCCAACTATCCGTAAAGACAGTTCGCGGCCACCTGATTCCAAGGCGTCTCCCACCCCGTTTGTAGAGACCAAGCCTGCAGAGAAGAAGTCGAAGAAGTCGCGCTCGAAGTCGGAAAAACGCAAGCGCAAGTCTTCAAAGAAGTCGAAGAGAGGTGCGAAGCTCTTCTTCTCTTGGGCTCACTTTTATCATCGCTAATGTTAGGGACTGAGCCAGAAGAACCGATCGCCTTGTCTGACTCCGATGACGTTATCGTAGTCGAGCAAGATCGTGAAAGCCATGGCCCGATCCAAGACACAGCGCTCAAAAGCAAAGACAGCCAATCTCTAAAACGAAAGAGATCATCTTCTCCGAAAGCCATGGGCTCCTCCCCTCCCCCAAGACCGTCGAATGCCGCCGCCTCGGACGAAAGTGACGCGGAAGACATCGTCACGCGACCTGGACGGAAACTGAGACGCGGAGCAGCCCCCCAGCCCACGATTGACCTCGATGATACCTCTGAAGACTCGGAAGAAGAGCGGGTGCGGTCATCCCCAGTCAAAAGGCGAAGGCTTTTGCGGAGTTCCGAAGTGCCTCAGACCCCGCGTCGTGAGCTAGATCAAGATCAACTGGATATTGAGGAGGATCTAGAAGACCTGCAAGATTCAGGTACCGTGGAATATTTCTTGCGCAAAGGCCAGTTTGGATATGTGGACTAATTTGTTCGCAGTTGTCAAGGAAACTCGGACCCGCGGGCGACTTGCGAATTCCGTACGGGCGCAGAGACAACAACACCTGGAAGCCCTCCGTCGCCGAAGGGCCGGAGACAAAAAGTCTACTCACGTCGATGACGAGCAATCGGAGCCAGAGTCCGAATCAGCAGAGAGTGATGCCGAAAGCGACGAAGAGAGTGCCATTAAACAGCCGCGCTTCCGCCACGAGAATAACGATAGCGACGTTGAATCGTCAATCGCGAGTAATGAGGACCTGGATCGGTATGAGGACGATTTCGTGCTGGAAGACGAAGACGACAAGTTAGGAGCGCCCACCGACCTGCAGGGAATGCCTTTCGAATTTTCTCGGCACGCCTACAAACAGCTGAAGGACTACTTCCAGGATGCAGTGGAATGGATGGTACACAATCAGCTTAATCCGGCATTTCCTCGCTCCAGCCCAGTCTACGAATTCGCCTTTACCAAATTGGAAGACGAAGTCAGAGGACGGACTGGATCACAGTTGGTGTCATCAGTGTGGAACGCAGACTTCCGCAGAGCCTTGCTCGCAAGGCCGCAAATCGAAATCACAGCATACCCGACATCAGAGAATCATCCCTGCGATGCGTGCAATCGGTCCGGACATCCTGCGTCTTTTGACATCAAGTTTTACGGCAAGCCATACTCTCTCGAGACTCTTGAACCCTTGACAGACGAAAACAGCGACGATGAGGAGTCTGAAAAGGAAGACGACGGCGAGGAACGCGATAGAGATGGCTATGTCTTGCCGAGCGAAAACAAGAGATTCTACCTTGGAAGGTTAGCATCCCATGGAGCTAGTTGGCTTTCCCCATCGCTAACAACATCTACCCTTCCAGACACTGCAAAACCAAAGCAGAAATGGCGCACACTCTCACCCACTGGCGAGCCCATCTCAACGAATGGGTGATAGACCACCTTAGACAGACGGGATACCTATCGGATGAGGCGGTCATCAAACGCAGTCATTGGAGCCAGAAACGCAAAGAAAAATATGCCACGGAGGCCATGAGAACGATGGTCGAAAACGACGAGGTCAAGAAACTCTGGAGGGACTTTCACATCAATCTGAGGACTGCCCGAGAGTCGGTTGTATGTCCTATCTTCTGTTCCCACGCGTTCAAACTGAGTGAAGCTAACATCTACGCAGAGCTTTAAGTAGACACTCGCCGGGGAGTCTAAGGAATTACCATTTATCTTGTCAAAATTTCCAGCATTATACTTCTGTGGAGCGGACTTGCATATCTGATGTCTTGCACCCTGTACATACCTCGCCTCAGCTTCTTCGCTGTATTTTTTTTTTCCCTTTGGAAACCTGATTCCTACCGTTACGTTCATGATACCCTGATTATACCATCATTTCTTTTACAAGATGTTCTCGTCGCGTCTCTGATCTGCATATTGGATAGTTTGCTGTCGAAGAAGCTTTTCAGAACACCTTTTGAATCTCAATTAGCTACTCTACAGCTGCGCCTCTAGATCCATTCACATTCCATTATCTAGAAACACATGGCCATAAAATATAACAATAGACATCAACGAAACAAATATATGTTATAGAAATACACGCATTGCCCTAAGATCCAGAAGTCCCGGAAGTCAAGGCATGAGGGGAGAAAAAAGTAGATAGACCAAAGACTCCGACAAAAAGGGAGAACGAAATCCATGTCCATGACCACTAACTTCCGTTTTTGCCGCGCCAGCCCAAGATTGCAGAGATCGATCGTCGCTGGTACGCTTCCCACCGAATTTTGTTTCTTTTGTACATTATTCCAAACCTAACATGCACGAAAACATAGAACTGTCATGCGCCGCGGATTTTTGGCCGTGTTGGATCATATTGCGTTATCCCAGGTACACCAAACGAAACGTTGCCGACACATCAGAGGTTTGCCCCAGGCAGTCTGATGACATCGTACAACAGCGCAAGCGTACAGCAACAGGCGGATGGCATAAACTGAGGCGTGGCGCTTATAGGCCATGGCTGATCACTCTCACCCGTTGCGATCTTCACCTTCGGTGGTTATGTTCATTTACAGGGAAGGCTGAGCCTGCTTCTCGTCCGAGGGACCGGTGCCGGGGGTGAGCATCTGAAAAAACGGTCATGTTAGCTGAATTTCCAGAACTGCAACCAAATTGGGTAAGAATGACGAATTTTGAGTTAATCATGACTGCTTTCTGGCCGCGACTCGTCCATGAAAAGAGTTTTCATGTCGTAACATGTTCTAAATCACCGCAAAACAGAGGAATACGATGTATAAAAATGACAAAGCCGGAAAAATAGAGTGGATAAAATTGCACCGAACGTACCTCGTTGGCTCCCTTGATCATGCCCTGCTCCCGCTCCATCTGGATGTACTGCTCCTCTTCGGCGTAGGCAAGAGCCCATGGGACACCGAGAAGGAAAGCACTGGTGCTGATGATCCAGAGCGCCTTTCCGCTGAACGCAATACTGGACTTTGTGAAGGAGGAGACGGAGGAGACAGTGCTAGTGACAGTGCGACGGGTGGAGGGAGGGATAATATCTTTCAAGGCGGACAGACGGTCGAAGAAGGTCTCTCCCTCAAGCTCGAGGTCGGATTCGGTGGAGATCTCGGACTCTGCAATTCGGATGAAAGGTCAGAAGATAGTTCGCCATAACTTCCAGTGTGGCGTTCATATTTTTGAGGATGAACGCGACTCGGTTGCATGTCCCGGTTCTCGGACGTAGTGAACTTCGGGTGCACCAGAATGGCGTTCAACCGCATAAAATGACAATGGCATTGGAATAATATTCCAGGCGAAACATCAAGGGACTAACCGGTGTCAGTGTAGTCATCCTCCTCCTCGTCGTCCGAGGCCAGAAGAACATTGTTCTTCGTGGGCTGAGGCTTCTCCTGGGTGAAATGCTCGTCTTCGACTTCGGTAAGCTTGACCATTGTGACGGTGTTAAATTAATGTAGGTTGCGGAAAAGCGGAGGCAAAAAGTGGTCGAGGGAAACGGTGTGGTGAGAGGTTGTCGAGAGATGAAGTGGAAGTCGGGAGAGTGACGGAGATTGCTGGAGGAAAGAAAGGCGGACTCTCACGCCCGTTCCAACTTTTTTCCCGACGGAAGCCAACGAACCCAAATCGGCAAGGAGCTTCACGAACCTCCCGATAGAATCCATCCACTATAAACCTCCATTTCTCCATTTTGATACGAATTGAAAGGATAGAGTTGTTTCAAAAGATCGCGCTGGTCATTGCCTTTTCTAGGACTTCGTACAAAGCAACGTAGAATTCTATGTTATTTTTTAATTACACAGAGTGAAGAAATTACCTCAGTCACCCGTCTCGTCTATACTATACAAGCATCCGCCACGTTGATCCGTTCTCCAAGAAGAGACCTATAACTGCTCCAAAATCTAACCGCTTACCTCCGCCCCAGCTTCCATCTTGCAATCCGTTCCTGGATCTCCTCCCAGGGGAAAGGACGGAGTCTATATCCTTCAAGCTCGCCTTCCTGCAACACAACCGTCGGCTTGCCAGTGCCCTGTCCTTTGTTCTGGACCAGGCCTCCGAACACCTGACGGGCGACGCGCCGCAAGTCCTCCACGGTCAAGCTCTCGATGTGGTGGCACATCTCTTTCACGCCGACCTTCCGGCCGTGGACCTGCACCTGGCGTCCAAGATCTTCCAACTCAACCATACGAGACTCCAGGTTCATAAGAAGAGAGGAACGCAGCTGGTTCTTGGCACGGTTGACCTCCTGGGGCTGTAGGGCGGAGTATCCGGTGTCAAGAGTCAGAGCCTGCAACTCCCTGCACATGACCTCGAGCATTTCCGTCGTCCGGGTAGGACTGCACGACGCGGAGATGCCGAAGATTCCACTGTCAGTGTAGCTGTGGTTGAAAGCGATGCAGCTCTCCACCCATCCGTGTTGGTTCAACACATTCGTATAGAGGCGGGAGTACATGCCTTTGCCGGGACCACCAGCCGAGAAGGATCCGCCGCCTCCGAGAAGAGTCTGAAGGGTTGCAAGAGCATATATATCGGGGTTGGAGATGGGGAGGGCCTCAAAGGCAAGATGGATGTGGCTCAACCGCGGAAGCATGGGGTTCGCCGGAGGAGGAATCGGAGGGAGGGAAAGGAAGCCGCCGGTGTAGTGGGAGGGCTGGTTCAGGTTCAGCGACGACGGTTCGACCAGGGAAGGATCCAGCGGGGCCGCAGCGCTGCTTTGTGAGCCAGAAAGGTTCTTCAGGAACGGCAGTTTGGAGAGTAGGCCGGCTTGCGACGAAGGGGTCGTCGACACAGTCGAGGAGGGCGTGAACTGGGGAACTGTAGGCACCTGGCCTTCAGAGGTGGCCGAGCCGGACGTAGACAAGGTGCTCTCAATACCCGCACCCGACAAGACAGGGCCCTTGCTGGAAGGATGTGTCCGCATGTCGCCAAAGTACTGTTCCGTAAGCTTGACAGCAACGTCATGGGGCACACCAGCAAACGCAACGACCATCCGCTCGGGGTTGAAAAATGTATCGCGATATCTCTCGACGACGGACTTGTTGATCTCATCCAACCTCTCGCGCGGACAGAGAAGGGGGTTTCCGAGTGTGTTGTCCTTGTAGGCCGCGGTGTGCACCAGCTCGGGCAGGATGAGCTCGGGCTTAGCCCAGATCTCGGTGATCTCATACTCGGCCGTAGCCAGCTGCTGGAGCACTTCCTCTTCCGTGATAACTGGGTTGCGGATCGTCTCAGCCAAGAGGCCTAGGGTCGTGGGGACGGCGGAGTTGAAGCTGGCGGCTTGGTACATTAAGGACTCGCGCGAGGACGCGCACTGGATATTTCCTCCAAGGCTTTCGATCGTTTCTAACATCTCGTCGCTGGAGCGCTTGTTTGTGGATTTGAAGGCCAATCGGTCCATGATGTGGCTCACACCTCGCAAACTCTCATCTTCGTAGCGAGATCCGGCATCGACGTAAACTCCAACACCGGCGAAGGGCCCCGGGAGAGACTCAGTGGCGACACGAATGCCATTCGACAACGTAGTGATTTGATCAAGTTCTGCGGGGTCCTACAATCCGTTCAAGTGCAATAGTTAGCCATCAATGCAACATACGAGCACGAGCATTCCACCGTTGCCATCTACCTTGGAGGCCTCGGTGGCCGTAGCGAAATTTCTGGCCGAACGAGACACGCGAGCAAGAGGCTTCGCGGTCTCAACGGCGCGTAACACAGACCGACGCATCTTGATAATTAGAGATCCAGCGGGTCGTAACAACTAGAACACCATAACCCGTTACGGGGAGCTGCTTTGCGGACGTCACGTCTGCACGGGTTTGTCGCAGCCGGAGATTCCCTCGGAAATCGCTTATCTAATCGAACGTCAGTGACCAACGCAATCCTGGTCTCGTTCTTACTTCAAAGTAAGAGCCCGATTATTTTATCAAACTGACTGTTATTTGGGATAAGAACTTGAAAGATTCTATAGTAATCAAAAGTCTGTTCATGTTGCAATGAGAATCGTCGAAAGCTGCATGATTGAGTAATCAAAGATCTAGAATTAACATTGACTAATGCAACAGATTTGTCACAGACAAGAAAAGGGACAACTCTTTTATGATAACGACAATGTAAGAAGAGCCAGAGAGATTATGTAGTTTTTTTGCTCAGGAGCCAGTAGTCCTGAATCTCACGTCAACAGACCCTAGGAGCTCATGGATGCTCAGCGGCCCAAGTGCGATACCACTCCAAACAAGAAGCATTAGCAACACTGGCACCGATCTTGATGTTCAGACCACACAAGATTTGCTTCACAGCGTTTTCGACTTTCTTGCCGTTGGATGTCACCGGGATTTCTGGGCACGCGTCGACGACAGCAGGGACATGACGAGGGCTAAGCTCCTTACGTATTGTTGTTTGGATGCGGTACGCAAGGTCGGACGGCATACTCGCTGGAGATCCATCAGATGACGCGAGTTTCACGAAGAGGACAACTGTCTCATCCGTGTCAACGCCGTCTCGCCGGCGACCAATGCAGAGAGAGTCTTCAACTTCCTCGGCAAAATGCTTCAGAAGAACGTTGTAAATCTCTGCGCTCCCAAAGCGGACTCCTGCTGGCTTGAGAACGCCGTCACTGCGCCCAAGCATGATAACTCCCCTAGTATGTGGGTTCAGGCGGACAAAATCGCCATGATGCCAGATGGACGGCCCGAAAACATCGAAGTAGCTCTTGCGATATTTCTCTGCTCCGACAGGACCCGGTGGCCAAAACATCACAGGCTGTGCTGGGAAAGACTTCGTGCAGACAAGATCACCCGGTTCATCAGAGGCGCTAATGTCGTTGCCTGCGTAATCATACACAGATACGGCCATTCCTAGACAACGGCACTGGATCTCACCCTTGTACACCGGCAAGATGGGGCAGCTACCACAGAACAGTGACAGGATATCAGTCCCGCCCGTGATTGAGCCAAGCATGATATCAGGATGGATCGAAGAATAAACATATTCAAACGTAGAAGGGGCCAGTGGCGAGCCGGTACTGAAAATGGCTCTCAGCGAATGCAAGGAAACAGGCCTATGAGCGTGTTCTCTCGGCTTAAGAGAAGCCTGTTCTAGAACGGAGAGATATTTGGCTGACGTTCCGAAGTGAGTGATCTGTAGCTCATCGACCAAGCGCGGCATGGCCATCTCGCCTTTCCCTCCCTCGGAGTCAAAAGGGCCGGAAAGGGGAGCCATCGTACAAGACGATGGTTGCACCACTGGCCAAGGCGGAGACGAGCCAATGCCACATCATCCAAGTCACCGTCGTAAAGTAGAACAGACGATCGCCGGGGCGGATATCGCAATGAAGCACGTGCTCTTTCTTATGCTGCAGCAATGTCCCGAGAGAGCCATGCACGATGGGCTTGGGAGCCCCTGTGGTGCCCGAAGAGTAAAGGATGTACACAGGATGTTCCGGTGCCAGGCTTGCGAATTCCAGAGCCGCGGACTGGTTCCCAGTAGTGAGAAATTCGTCATACGTCAACGCTTTGCCCTGGACTGGGGTGACTGCGTCGAGGCAAAACTTATGCGACTTGACCGTATTGAACACGACCAGCAACTCCAGGCGTGACAGTTCAGAAACGATTTGGCTGATCTTACTGTCGGTGGGGTGAACTTTGCCGTTGTACAGGGAGGCATTATCAGCAAAGAGAATCTTGGGCTCTATTTGCTTCAGGCGTTCCAGTACTGCGTGAACACCTGTGTCCGGGGACACGCCCGTCCAGAAAGCGCCTATCGACGTTGTCGCTAGCATGGCAACCACGGTGTTAGTATGGTTCCCCAGGAACCCAGCTACTCGGTCACCCGCCTGCAAGCCTGCTCCTTTCAGCGAATTGGCGCACCGCCGGACGCGTTCCCGCAATTCCCCCCAAGAGACGTACTCGCGGTCAGCTTCTGTAGCCGCGATGATCGCAATATCGCTTTCCTCCGGGGAGCTAGCTGGGTAGAGAAGGTTCTCTGCAAAGTTGAGTCTGCTTCCCTCAAAAAAGCTAGGCCTGGGAAAGAGAAGACTATCAGAGCCCAAGACCTGTGCAGATGTTAGAGGCTTTTCTCACGATGAGGGCGACGGGCTTAATCAGACTCACTTGGTCATACTGACTATGAGTCTTGACAGGCGTGTAGTTCCAAACGTGTTCCCAGAAGTTGGCGGGCTCCGAAACACTCCACTGCCACAGGTCGTTGTAATTGTTCAGGGACAATCCGTACTTTTCGTTGGCCTTCTTCATAAAATCATATATCTGCGTATCCTGAGGGGCGGAATGTCGCCACAATTCCTTTGCACCCGTACTGGATCCATTGGCGCCATTGGCAACGCCGTTGACACCGTTGGTCCCGTTGCTGGACATAGTCATGATCGTCTGTAGAGAGTTTTCACGGGTTGGCGCCCCTAGTTGGTAGAAATATGTTGTTCCAGAAACGTGATCACCTATATGAGGTTCTCCCGGATGTATAGTCAGGTCTCGAGGTAGCCAATTCAATGGTACAACGAGAATGGAGAGGAAACCGAGGCACCTTTCCTTGAGATATAGCCTAGACGTGAATGGCAATTGTTGAGTGACTGTCCACACATTCAAGACCCCAATGGGGAAGCGTGGGGCGGAAATGGCGGAGATGGCGGCCAGAGGCGGCCCGCCTAGAGAAGTCCGATATGATAGAAGCTGAAGTGTATAAAGATATAAGTTCAAAATGCCCAAATGATTTAGAAGCTGTGATGTTCAGTGGCTGGTCCCTTTCACATAGAACCATTCTTTCGCCATTGATGAGATGCATGCTGATGGTTTGTGCCACCCAACTGATAGGAAGCCTCAGGCACCAAGGTTGTTTAACAACAGTCGCGCAATTTGACATTGTTTATTTACTAGGCAAGGTAGTTAGAGATGTGTACAACGTTGCTACAAAGAAGCTACCTCGTGTAAACTCAAGAATGATGTTTGAAGGGGTTATTGCGCCATCTAAAGTGCATGGAGAGAGATATCATCTGTCATCGATCCGTTCTCGGCTCTCATCCATGTCCTCGACCAGAGTGAGGGTTTTTGCCCCTTTTCATTAAAGGGGAAATGGAGACCAGCCCAGGGGTTGGTAATTTTACCTCGGCATACCGACATCCGCAGAGGAACCCAGGCTGTCAGGCTGTACGAGATGACCGAGATTACCATACGGTACCAGAAGTATCCGCCTCGATGGATCGTCCGAGGTTCCACCTTGAAAATTTGACCCTGAGGAAAAAAAATAAAAAAGAACAAAAGCCAAACGCTAGGATCATGTGGGATCTTATTGGGCTTTTATGATTTTTATGATTATTCTGTTTTATGATTTTTTTTTTCTCTTATGAATTATTGTTATTCTTTTTACTGAACGGTTATCCACTTCTCTCTCTGTCCTCTACCTAATCTTCTTTCTTTTCCCTTCAACACCAGGAGAACCGGTTTGTGATCTTCTCTCACTCTCCTTTCTTCTTATTCCCTTGCAGGGGCCTCGAGCCCTCCAGCCACACTTCCACGTGCGCAAGGTCGGTCACTGCCTCTCTCTCACTTTCTCCACCAAATCAAAGGCTTGTCCGATGCTGGGTCGCCTCACCCTGGATTCCTCTGCCTCGCAACATACCCGCACCTTCTCACCCCCGCTTTCTCCTATCTACACCGTGTTATTTTGCCTGTTTCATGTCTCTTCAATCTTCGCTGACCGTTGAACCTCCGCAATTTCAGACCTGTTGCTCTGACGCGTGATCTGATCCACCTTATTTGGACCGCCTCTTGGAGAAGGATCGGAATCGTCGACCCCCTTTTTTACTACTTCCAAAACAACACGAGTTCCTCGAGAACAACCACCTGTTGCTTCTCAGTAGCCCTTGCCATTCTCGATTTCTCCAGCGCTGTGTGAAGTCACTCGGATTTCACTTCCCACCGTTCATCGGCGTCTTTTGATCTCGCGTGTTTCACCCTGGTTTTCTTGCGATGCCTCGTCGACCTACGAATACCTCTACCAACGACCCTACAACCACCCACTCCTTGTCTTCTTCCGGAAAGGGCGGCAAACCCAATCGCTTGACCCAATTTTTCTCGACCTCTCCCAAGTCCAAGGCCGAGCCTCAGACGGCGCAAGCGGCCCTCCAGTCGGCGAGTGCGAATCACCCGGCTGCTGTAACTCCACCCATCAGCTCCGCATCTCTATCCTTACCTACAATCTCTCTTTCTACGGCCACGGCGGATAATCCCAACATGGACGAGCCGCCCACGACGCTCTTTCAGCCCCCCTCGCCAGAAGAGGCCCTTCGTCAAGCGAAACAACATGCGCAGTTCGGTCCCATCGGTCACCCGAGTCACCGGTATTCCAGCCGACATCCCGGTGGTGATTTCCCCGAACCTATCATGGACGAACCCCCTTATTATTATCTCCTCACCACCTATATCAGCTACCTAATCCTAATTGCCTTTGGACACGTCCGTGACTTCTTCGGCAAACGCTTCCGCGAAGAGAATTATCGGCATCTCAAGCCCCGCAACGGTTACGGTGCCCTCAACAGCGACTTCGATAATTTCTACGTCCGTCGTCTCAAACTCCGCATCAACGATTGCTTCGAACGCCCTGTTACTGGTGTTCCCGGAAGATACATCACCCTGATCGACCGCGCCACAGATGACCACAACAGACATTTCTATTTCACTGGAACGACCACCGACACGTTGAACTTGAGCTCATACAATTACCTGGGGTTTGCTCAGTCGGAAGGTCCGTGCGCGGATGACGCCGAGGACGCGATCAGAAAGTATGGCATCACCTCTCCTAGCACTCGCGCCGAGACGGGAGGACAGGATCTCCACACCGAGATTGAGGATCTGGTGGCCAGATTTGTTGGCAAGGAAGCGTCAATGGTCTTTTCGATGGGATTCGGTACCAACGCAAACGTGTTTCCGGCATTGGTCAGCAAAGGCAGTCTTATCATCTCTGATGAGCTCAACCACGCGTCTATTCGGTTCGGAGCGCGTCTTACGGGTGCGTCGATCACGATGTTTAAGCATAATGATATGAAGGACCTAGAAGTCAAGCTTCGGGAAGCCATCAGCCAGGGCCAGCCACGGACCCATCGTCCCTGGAGGAACATCCTCGTCGTGGTGGAAGGTCTCTACTCCATGGAGGGCTCTATGTGCAATTTGCCTGGCTTGATTACACTGAAGCGGCGCTATAAGTTCCATCTGTTCGTTGATGAGGCCCACTCCATCGGAGCTGTTGGCCCTCGTGGACGAGGTGTTTGCGATTATTTCGGCATTGATACGAGTGAAGTGGACATTCTCATGGGCACGCTCACCAAGTCTTTTGGCGCCAATGGGGGTTATATTGCCGCCGACAAAATGATGATCGACAAGCTCCGTGCTACCAACTCGGGTATCTTTTATGGTGAAGTTCCCGCTCCGGCTATCCTGGCCCAAATCTCCTCTGCGCTCCGTATCATCAACGGTGAGCTTCTTCCGGGTCAGGGCGAGGAACGGTTGCAGCGGTTGGCATTCAACTCTCGGTATCTCCGTTTGGGATTGAAGCGTCTTGGCTTTATTGTGTACGGTCACGACGATTCGCCCATCATTCCTGTTCTTCTTTTCAACCCTGCCAAGATGCCCGCCTTCTCTCATGAGATGCTGAAGCGGAAGATCTCTGTTGTCGTCGTCGGATATCCGGCAACGCCTCTGGTGTCCTCCCGAGCACGGTTCTGCGTCTCCGCATCCCACACCAAGGAAGATCTTGATCGGGTTTTGGCTGCCTGCGACGAGATCGGCAATGTACTGCAGCTCAAGTTTTCGACAGGCGTCGCGGGCGGTTCCCTTCCCTCCAGTGAAGATGTGGCTCCGCCTCCAGAGATGGAGAAGGAGTGGAATCGGAGGCACAACTCGAAGATCGTCCCTCCCCGGTGGCGCCTCGAAGACGTGATCAGGCGTGGTGTCCAGGATGTCAAGTCGCCGTTGTATTAACCTGACTGTTTTCAATTCTTCGCATTGCACATAGGTTTGGAGGGTGCCGTCCTTTTTTCGGGGCACGGTTGATGCTGGCCATGCCGCGTCCCTGAGCGACGTGTTACCTGCATGTACCATTACCTGACGGCCGCGATCGGCTGTCCTCATATTTATCGTTCCTGGGACCCATGGTGTTCTCCAGCATGGTTCCGCCAAAACCAGGTATGGTGGCCGCCGAAACAAGGGACGAGTTCACCCAGTGAACTCAACTTAATGTCTCTCGGTCATCGGTCATCTCCAAACCCCACAGTCAGACAGTTTGGATGTGCGTCATGCTTCCAGCTGGCCTCGGCTAATTCCGACCCCATATGTTTGGTCGCCGCGGCCCCTTCTTTCGTTGTGACATATAGAAAGAACCTGTTGTTGGCTCCTGGGCCCACCAAGTGCTGGAGGACAGGCAGCGAGCGATTCTCCTAGATGACGAGGCTTTGTTGTTGTTGTACCTTAATGAGATTGATGAGAGAGGGTATGAATGGGCGATGTTTGGATGTTGGCTACATCCGAGCATGTCTTCCAGCTTGTTAATAAGACCTGATATTGTTACTTGGATCGATGATTCAAATCAATAGATAATCTCCACGTGACGTCGGATCTGCCGCCGGAAACCGGCGTTCGTCCGGGGAGGGGCCAATGAGCGGCGGTGGATAGAGAGTGCGTGAGGATGTTTATCGAACGCCCTTATCACCAATCGTCGATCGTGGAGCACTCGTGACCGGA